GTACATGTATTATCATGGTCAGTGAAGTTATACTACTAATATTTTACCCATTGTTTAGATAGTAAATACGATAGTAACTTCTGCAAATACGAAGACTAAATTATGCATATACCCTGCTAATCTTTCAGTATTTGTTCTCAGTTTATCTATTTTATGTCACATAATTGTTAATAAACACTTGTACATTAATGTTAGAATTATTCTGATTTGTCTATTGAATGTGTACTTCAAAGTGCCTAATCCTTTATGTTTGTACGAATAAATTTGAGTTACTGAAGAAATGGTAAATTGAAATGATTAACCCATTCCTATCCAGACATTTTATTCCCCTTCATTTATGTTTGTTAAAGGTGTAATTAGCTGAGTATAAGTAACTCTAGTATTCAGGGCAGAATAACTGGAGGACAGTGTCTAAAGAAGCATTAGTAGAAAATTTGATTAATTCAACTAATACCTTTTAATTTTAAGTCACTTTTTCTAAATAATCAGTTTTCTTGATTCTCTTTGCCATAAGCGTGAACCATGCATGTAGGCTGTTCTTTTCATATTGTACACCTCTTAATAAACTGATTTCTGTAAGGTTTTCCTGCATCATTGGTTGTGGTTCTGATAGTATTGAATCACTGAAAGTAAAACACATACTATGACATCTTTCACAAGCTTTCTTCATGTACATGAGTATGCAATTTCCTGACAAGTTTTAGTTTATATTTAACACAGGTAGATGTAGTATTTTTACTTGAATGACCTTCTCTCAGGTTCAGTGGCATCATGATGAGGCTACATATTTTTGTTTAGTGTATGTTAGTCTGTTGTAAAATATTTAAAACTACTCAACTTAACATTAACATTGTGAAGTTTTTGAACATAACTGTCACTTAAAATAATCAGATGTATGTAGATGGGAATGGACTGGTTTTGTAATGTATGTATGTAGATGGGAGTGGACTGGTTTTGTAATGTATGTATGTAGATGGGAGTGGACTGGTTTTGTAATGTATGTATGTAGATGGGAGTGGACTGGTTTGGTAATGTATGTATGTAGATGGGAATGGACTGGTTTTGTAATGTATGTATGTAGATGGGAGTGGACTGGTTTTGTAATGTATGTATGTAGAAAAACCAGTCCACTCCCAGTAATGTATGTATGTAGATGGGAGTGGACTGGTTTTGTAATGTATGTATGTAGATGGGAGTGGACTGGTTTTGTAGAATATTAAAATGCATATTTCTTACTATTTAAACTTTGCAGCCTTTGGATATTTTTTTATATGTATATTTGAATACCATTGCTCATTGCTATTCTAATTATTATGTTCTTATCAAGTTTATACATTTAGTATTTTGACTGTGGTCTTTCAGGAGTTTAATGTTCTCATTATTGTTCCACTTAGTGTTTGTTGCAGGTGGTCTTGGTATTATTAATCTGTTATCTACACGTATAACAATTCCATGCAAATAAATTATACATTCGCTGCCTGAAAATACCAAAATATTTCAATTGTTTATGAAACTCAAATTCTGACATTAATAGTGGACATTTGAAATACCTGTATTTTCTTGAAAAACTATCAAGTGGCTAAAAACTTAATATTGTCATTGTCTTTTCCTCATGATATGGTTAGTTAATACTGCCTCATTCACTTGCTGGATTTTTAGTATTTGATATTTCACATCCATGTTTTGAATAATATATTATTTATATGATCAGTTTACCTTTTATAAAGTCTCTTGTTACTACTAGTGCCATGGTTATCCTCTTACTTACTAAACATTTGTAGTATTTATTAACAATGAACCTCTGAATCAACCAGACTAATTGTGTAATTTTTGGTAAAAAGTAGGTGGCACACAAGATTGAGAAATTGAGAAAGTAGTAATTAAATATAGGGATCTGTAGGGTACGATCTGATGAGTCTATTGTCATGGGTTTCTCTATGGATAATATGGTTTTCTATTTCACCACTATTTCTATGGCTCACTTTCTGTACATCTGACATTCCATCATGATTGTATGTACATTTGCTGCCTTGGTATCATGTCAATCATTTTACTACTTTACACTGACAAGTAAGCTTTAAATCTTATACTTCTGACATCTGTCCTCTGAGGTATGTGCAGTCTTCATAGAAAATCTATTTATTGTCCTTACTGTTCCTTATGAATACTGGTTTCATGAGAATCTCTATATTGTATTCCAGCAACACCATGATGTCAGGAGAGGTTCAGTAAAATAAAGTTCTCCACCTACCAAAAAAAGAAAATCATTGTATTGCTTCCAGTTCTTTTTCAGTTTTTAAATTGTGAATACCATTGGATTCCTCATACATAAAACTTGCAAGAGAGTCAAGGAATCACAATATTGTGTGCCTTTTGGAGATTGACTCGTAGAGTTATTGCTAATAAAAATTTCTAAGTGAAAGTACTTAGAGTACCTAGTAATATGCCAATCATGTTATATCTAGTACTGACAATGCTTTTCTCCCATATATCTTACAAAAATTCAGCAATATTACCACAAAATTTTGACCATGTGACGGTTCAAATAAGTAATTACTTTCTACAAAACCTTTTGCCTATCTTTTTTGTTTTTAGTTAACCCTAAACAAATACATAAATATTCTTACCACTAAAATTGTAATACATTAGCTTTGTCCATCTCTTTGTAGCTACAATGCAAATAAATTGCTGCCTTAAAAGACCTCTCCCTCAACAATGACCTCATTGTCACCAGTCCTGACAAAGGAAATGGTATTGTCATTCTCAACAAAACAGGCTACATCAAAAATATGCATGACACTCTTAACAATACCAAGTTTAAATATAAGTTTCTGTCCAAAGATTCTTAATAGACTTTAGTTTAAAAAAACTCATTTTTTAAATTCATATATTTTTTTATTTCACACAAGCCTGTGTCCTGGAGTTCTACTTAGATAACTTAACGAAATATCACAAACATTACACTTTCTATTGATCTATACTTTCTGCTTTAGGAATACTCAACCATAATTTTGCCAAGTTCCTTGACCCTATCTCACAGCCTCTAATGACAAATGGATTCACTATCCCTGACTCTTTCCAATTTTACCCATGTAATAAGTCAATTCCTTCCTTCTAGAAGAATATTTCATGACTAGTTATTATTTCCCTTATTTATTATCCTTTCAGAAGAAACCATCAACATTTTTCCAGACTTTTGTAGTTTATAATTTTATTCCCTTTTCATAGAAACTTTATCTTGTGTTTTTCTTACTCAGCTTATATGATAGTTCACAGCACTTAGAAATATTCTTTCAACATAATATCTTAAAACTTATGTATTCCCTAAACACTTACTTGAGAAGTCATCCATGTCTTTTTACACACCTTCCTGTGGCTTACCAGTCAGTCTGAAGCTACAAACCAGGTTTCAATACCAATGATAGGCACAGCACAGATAGCCCATTGTATAGCTTTGTGTTTAACAACAGACAAATAATATTTTTAAAGTGTTTTTAATGTACACATATTTTAATATATACACACAATATTGAATAGTTTCATGTGAGCTGCTGTGATTTCTGCATATTTTAGAGGTGTGTGTTGGAAACATCCTCACCAAAACTAACCGGAAGAACAGCATATGAAACTATTCTAATTATCAACACACTGCCTTAAGCTATTTTTAAAGAGTGTACTTAATGTCAGCTTATTAATATTGTTACTACTGTGCTAAGATTACTCTGTCTGGAATTTTTGATAGATAAAGAATAAAACAATTAATCAGTGGTAGATGAAGTTCAGTTTGTACAAATATTTCAACACTAAATGAAACTTATTTTATTAAAAATACATCCTTATCAAATATGAAATATGTTTTTCGTGGCCAATCAATTACTTATGAAATTATCAAAACTAGTAAGAGTTTTTATATAGGATTAGCAGAAATTGTTCATTTACTCCCAGTTATTACTCTCTATGCTAAAAATTATCCATACCATTGATATTAAGATTTTTGATGGATATGGAGAGCTTTGTCTTTTAATGATCAGTGGAATAGGAAAATGTTTAGTATTGAGGGGGGTGGGCAACAGTGACTGGGTCTGAGGCAAATGCACCCATTGACACAGTGTATCCATGTACACTGATTGGCTGGTAAGTGACAGACTCCCCTATATCATAGAAATTATAATTATATAACTCCAGGGACACCATGAAATCAGCCCTTTTATCTCTCAAATACAAAGTGTTTGAAATATTGTTGGGAACAGATGATATGTTGACTCTTTTATAAAGTTATTGGAGCTAGGCCCCACCTTGTAATTTCACTGATTATACATCTAATCACCTTTTCATTGATATTCACTTTCTTGAAAAACCTTTAATTAACTTTGTATCAAAAGGCAAAAAAAAATCTGTTGTGGGAAGTGAATGAGTTTAATTTGCTCCTGTGGTAATAAATTTAAACACCAAATACATGTCCAGGTATTTTTTCATGTATTACTTGAGTTTCATTCATAAATGACTTACTGCAAGTGACAGTTTTATTATTTTATTTCCAAATTAAACATTCGGCTGTTCTGGCTGTAGTATTGTTTTAAATATCTGATGTAACTGGTTTTCTAATTACATGTAAAATTATATTTACATGTAAGTCATATTTAATACAAAAGAAATTCTCTGGATTACTTAAGTATACCATATACTTTATGGATATTTTGAAATAGTAATAACATTAAATGCAAAACTTAAGTATATGGAATAAAATATTGCAAATGTTATTGAACATACACCAATCAACATTTGTAAAAGTAGATGGACAGGAAAGTGTTACATAACCTGAGTTGTGTATTACTCTTGTATTTACATTGATTATGCTTTTAATGTTTAAGCTAGATGTTTACAATTTAATGAGTATGTTTGAAATCATTTATGTTTTATCTTATTTTAGAATTAAAACTTCGGATTGAAATGTTCAAAAACTGGAAACTTCATTCAGTCACATTTTGTATTTTTTCTAGGCTGTGGTGAGCCACCAGATGTCCCTGAAGCAGAGCCAAAGCTAGAGGGAAGAAGGCCTCCTTATGCTGTTGGAACAAACATTACATATTCTTGTTTTTTGGGGTTTAACCTTCATGGAGAAAGTGTTGCTTATTGTGTGATGAAAGATGGTACTGCCCAGTGGTTACCTCTTAATATGAATTGTGATCCTGTATTGTGTGGTGACCCAGGTTATGTATTGAATGGAAGACAACTGAGCCATGTATACACATTTGGAAATAATGTCACCTATGTGTGTAATCCTGGATTTGAGCTGGCAAATGACAGAGGACCTACAGGCAAGGAAAGTTATACCTTGTGGTGTCTTCCAAATGGGAACTGGGACAAACCTGCTCCACAGTGTGTTGGTAATTATAAATAATTTTGGTATATAATTAGATTACATACACCTTAGCATCTAAGCATTATATATATATATATATTAAAAAAATTAAATTTTGTAGCATTCAACTAAAATATTAGTGCACCTACTAGAATACCTCTTTAACAGTTACTTCAAAGTTATCTATCAGATTGAAAATTAAAGAGCATTTAAGATGTCATATTTTATACACTTGATGATATTGTAAAGGATATAAGCTATTAGTCAACTTTTGTTAGCAGGTGGAGATATTCTATCTCAGATAGTGTAGGAGAGAAGTTTTAATTTCTTTTCACAAGAATGTTTGTAGTATATTTGAAGAGCATGTGACTGATTTTGAAGATAATCTTCTATTTTCACTTTTATTTTCATCTATAAGCATATACAGTGTAAATCAGAAAAAAATATTAAAGCATGTATACAGGAAATTTACATATCTTAAACATGCAAAGCAAACACATGATATATTCTTTCTTTACAATACACATTAGATAGCATGACATTAGCCTAAAGGTACAATGATGTCATCTTCACTTTGTTAGTCATGCCAAGTGGAAATGAAGATGACAACTGATGTTTTTTACGAGTGTGATACAGAAAAAGCCAAACATTGTGAATCACAGTATTTAATGAAATATGGCATATCAATTCATTTTTTATACATTATCAATACAAATTTTATTTCTAAAATTAAAACTGTTGATAATTTTGTCATATCTTTTACTTTAATGTTAATTTATTTAGAATCATATTCACTTCTGCAGCTGCTGTACTAGTCAGGTGTAATCTCAGGAATAGTTATTGTAATAATAGTTTTGATAAAACCTGTTTACTCTTATATATTTTTATAATTAATAGTTTTTTGAGCTATGCCTTTTTTATGGTCATAGTACATTGCAAGCCTGTCAGAAAACATAAACATGTTGAATAAATGTGATGTATAGAATCTAAAGAAATAGTAATGTAAACAAAATTACACGGTCATTTTCAAACTCGAAAGATCTCAATAAATCCTTACCATTTCATTGATACCAAGCCTGCATGTATGAACTTTCAAAAACTTCTGTCTGTTCCTCTGTGTGGACCCAGAAGCATAGCCATTAGCAACAATATCAAATTCAGTGTATCATCAACTTATCTGGATGCTGTTATATGGCATGTACTACTTCCTTTCGGCATTCACATACCTGATGTTTTATTCCCTGGAACCCTTCTGTTTCCCATGATTTATCCCCTGTCATGCTAACTGGTTGGGTTCATAAACTCGTTAGGCTGGCCTAATTGGACTTATCCATGGAAGGTCACTATCTGTACAGTTTTTCTTCTCATCAAGTTCTTCATATCACCATGTCTTTGGCTGTTTGCTTTCACCTTCAGGCCAGAATCTAAACTACTTCCAATATTTTTGTTGCTCATTATCTGCATGATGTGGCTGTATCTTCCTCAGATGGACATTGTCTCCCTCCCATGGTGATTCTACACACATCTGTTCACCTTTGATTGGGGTAAATCTTGTCACTTCCTTTAATTAATTTTTTTATTTTCAACAACCCTCATTTTACCACTGATAATGGGATCCCACCCTGTGGCAGGTGTTGCCTGGTCAGGTATGCTTTGCCTCAAACCTGCACTATTTACTGATTGTACCCTAATGCTCACTGTAGAGATTGAGTGTTCCGCAATACCACTGGTGTCATACCCAATGGAATATATATATGTTTCTAGATAACAGTAAGTTTCACTCATTGGTGAACCATCACTCATAGTCTTAATGAGTAAAGCAGGAGATTTCTTCCTATCCCTGCTGACTCTTTGATTGATGAAATCAGGGTCGGTCTACTCTTCAAAATAAGGAATTGCAGACACCCATTGCAATTTCTCCGGTGTGATGTTCTTCAAGAATCTTCACCGCATTTACTTCCCTTTTTTTTCTTACAGTGGAGCACAGGAGTCCTTACTAGTTCCCAGTCATTTGGATGGTGGATCATGGAGGCTTCCTCCTGAGTGAGTTTAGAAATTTAATTTACCATACATACTTATGATTATGCACTCAGAGAGAAGAAAATAAAGCTGGTTTCCCTCCTCCTATTTCCTGGGTGGACAGCTGTTGGTTGGAGCAGGTCCAGCCTATGTAGGATCCTCTTCATAATACTGGGTTTAGCCCTGTTCTTATGTTTGTGTGCAGTAGAGGCCTCTATTTTCATTAATTCTGGTTTCAGGAGGTTCTTTTCCTACTCCTACAGTTGAGTTTGGGGGACTTTGTCTGCCTCGTAATACCAGCAACAGGAAGTATGTACATTGTTCTTACGGTTGAGCAAATGTTCCATGTCCTCTTTGTTATTCTGTATGCAGGGTGTGTCTTCTCTGTATTTACAGTTGAGTTTGGGGGACTTTGTCTGCCTCATAATACCAGCAACAGGAACTATGTACATTGTTCTTACAGTTGAGCAAATGTTCCATGTCCTCTTTGTTATTCTGTATGCAGGGTGTGTCTTCTCTGTATTTACAGTTGAGTAATTTATGATTTCTGCTCGTAATACTGGCTACAGATATTACCCTGTTCTAACGGTTGAGTTGAGGCAATGCCATGACCCTGTAAGGCAGGTTCAGTTTGTTGTATGTCTTGCTCCAATGGTAGTTTTGGAAGTTTGTCTGGCTTCAGGTGACAGCTCACTTCATCTTCATAATTCTGGTTGCTTGACATATAACATTCAGTTTAATATAGTTGGGGTTGATGAGTATATGTAACACGGTCCACATGCCCTAGCTATTATGTTTATGTTACAATATATTTGTTTTTATCTTTTCTGGTCCTCAACCTTCTGATGCCAAGGATGAGTTGTGAAACTTCACCTGTCCAGTTGAGGTTGTGTATGTACATAGCCAATTTGCTTTATATTTTTCTATGAATTGCACATCTTGGAGCAAATTGAACTTGTGCACATCCTTTGTTTTGCTCGTAGCAGAATAATTTCCTACTTCAAGGGTAAAAAGCATACCTGTCTCAGAAGTAGTGTGGTACCTCACAAATGTGCTTTGTTTTCATCTCAGAGCACACCTGTTCATTCTGGGTGGTTGCTTTCTGCTTGGTTTCAATGTTGTGTACCTACTCCTCCAGCTTTGTGGAGGTAAGACCATATCAGAAGTTAAAATTTTTCTTCCACTTAAAATCTATTTCTGATAGGCACTTACCTCATTTCGCACTTGCCACCCTTCCTCTTCACTGTAGCTGTTCTTCTTTTAGAGCCTGCCAATTCTTGAAAGTGAGGATTGAGCAGGAATAGCAGAGAAAGCTAGCTGCACTAATACAGGTGGTGCAACTCTATTGGTGGAGAGTAGTTATATGAAATGTACTTGTTCAAAAATGGTGCAAAATTGATGGGGTATATAGACTGGTGCACTGCCCATAAAAATGTTTTCGCAATGCCTATAGGGCAGAAAGAAGATTGAGATTGCTTTGTGTGAGGGAGGTAAAGTACCAATCGGAAATACATTTTCAGTATAAGAAAATTGTTATCTTTCTCCAGGTTTTTAAAGGATATCAAAGTTCAGACATGTTAGCCACTTTTTCATTTTTCTGAGGTCAATAGACAGATTGCAGTTCATAAGAATTGGAAAGTTGTTATTGGTATTCTTATTTTTAAAGGAGGTGCTAAGAGTTCTCCAGTTGGAAAAAATTCTAGATAATAAAATACAAAGTCACCATAAACTTCTTAAAGGGAAATCTTCCCTTACTTTTACCTGTTTTTGATTTCAATGGTATTGTGTTATATGGATAATGGAAAGAGTGTGGACTTGTTTTACTTGGATTTTCACAAAGCATTTGATAAGGTTCCATATTGAAGATGAGCTAAGAACGTCACACCAGAAGGGCTTGGGGAAAGACGAAGTTAATTAACTTGTACGATGGTTGGATGACAGAAAGCTAAAGCCCCCCAGTGGCACAGCGGTATGTCTGCGGACTTCCAATGCTAGAAACCTGGTTTCGATACCCATTGGTGGGCAGGGCACAGATAGCCCTTTGTGTAGTTTTGTGCTTAATTACAAACAAACAGAAAGCTAAAAGTTGTTACTAATAATCCATTTAACCCTTCCATTACGGGCTGGTTGGAATCCACGAAAGTATCCTTGAGAGTAATTATACTCTTAATTTTTCATAATGTGAGCACATCTTTACAAAATTTTACAGTTTATTGGTAAACATCACAAGGTTTTCATACACAAAATATCAGGTTTATAAATTAAGTATTAAGATTTTTTAATTAAAGATTTTCTCGTAAACCTTTTTCTTCCAGAATGTTGACTACCCAACATTGAAAGCAATTCTGATTTTAAGATTAAAAATACTTTAATGCATTAGAACATTTTCAAATTTCACATGCAAAATCTTTATATTCTCTAGATAATTATTTTTGGTTTAAAACTATATTTTATTTGTTATTTTCATTAGTGAATTTCTTTATGGCTTGGTTCGATATGACCAACTTCATAACCTCAGTAAAAAATTAGGAAAAAAATATTATTAAAAATTATATTTTTTTTTCATTCTAGAATGACTACAAATTATAACACGAAAACACAAAATTTTAGTCTAACTAGCTTAAATCTCATAACATTCTACATCTATATATATATATATTTATTATCGTTAATATACTGATCTTCCAACCATAATTGGCTAACAATACAGAAGTTACAATGATGCACTGCACGTGCACTCGTGTTACCTTATCTAATAATATATAACTGACCTTTAGTCTTTACAAAGTGACCTGTCTTGGCTGTGTTTTAGTGAAGTAGTATTTTGTAAAATACAGTCACATTTCAACTATTATACATTATAAATAAATATATATATATATATATATATATATATATATATATATACTACACCACTACACACAC